CTGACTTTCAGCAGCACACTCTGAGGTGGAAGAAGCACATGTGAGAACATATATCTCCCTCAGTTTAACAATCCAGCCAAAGGCATGTCCTACCCATGTGCACTTCCCTGCAATCTCCTCATCTCATTTATGCAGACTGGAAACGCACTCAGCAGGAAGCCCAGCTACACCTAGCATGGCTGGGATTCTGGCTGGACAGTGACAATGAGCGGGTGCCCAGACTCTTCTAAATGACTTTTGAATAGTGCTGACTTCAAAGAAACCTCTTTCTGCAGGTTTAATAAGCCTCCCCCACCTCCTACTCTGCCTGGGAAGCTCCGATGTGAATGGGAATCACGACTTGACATAAACGTGGAAGATTATGTGTCCATAGGGCTGATTTGATTCCTACTGGAGTATTTATTTATTTGCTGTGATTTCACACCTCTGCTTTGGCTACAATGTCTTCTGAAATTAATCCCTGTGCTATCATTACACATAGGTATGTTCTCTATATACAAGGTGGGTGGAGAATGAGAAATTTGTACATGCAATTAAAAGAAAAAAAGGGATACATAGCCTTTTATTCAAAGGACTAGCCAGCAGAAAATGTTAGATTGCCCAGTATTTGGAATCACACTCTTTGGGTCTGAGACACAGTTTGGCAGTTGGGTCCATAAGATTGCAGAATAGCTTTAAAGGTAACAGGCTCAGGAGCATTCTAGTAGGAAATATCTCTAAATTTTGTCTGGAAAGCAAAATCAAAAGTCTTTCTCCTCAATATTTTAGCTAGGACTTAATAGGGGAGGAAATACAAGAGAAGAAAAGAGAAAAAAAAATCAGTTTGTAGCAAAGAGGAGGAGATTTCATTTGCCACTTTGACAGGTTGGGTTTGGCCCGTCAGAAGACAATTTGATGGTTTCGTTAGGAAACAGATGTATGTAGGCTACTGGGGGAGATAAAGCTCCATTAATCCTTGCTGTTTGTGAATGAAATGTGGAGGACTTTAACACAGGGGCCAATCTCATACTGAATGCTGTCCCTCTGGAGCTACACAAATCCCATGAGGCTTACATATGCTGGCACTTCCCAGAGCCTATGCACCCAGGGCTGTGACCAGCTTTCTGCATCTGCCTCTCCGATGCTATAGCCCAGGGTTGCAAGCTCAGCAGCATTTTTTATGTTAGTCCAGCTGGAGTTGGGACCACAGAGAGTGAAAGCAGCACAAAGATCGAGCAGAAGGCTTTCAAATGAGGGGTCCAGGCTGCTCCAAAGATGGAGGGATTTTTATTTGGCAAAAGGAAACCCCTTTCTCCTCTTGGTTTGAATGAACTTAGGTCCTGGGGGATCCAGGAATTACCTCTATTTAGGGAACATGCAACTTTCCCAGGTGGAGGGAGATAGAGAGCCAGAGTCACTCTCCTACTCCTGCAATAAACTTCAGATTCCACAAGCGGATACTATGGAAAGCACCATGAAACATACCCTCCACTCCCTAGGACTTTATGGTCCAGGAAAGGAGAGGTCAGCTGATTCACTTTCATTCTTACATCTTATACAAAGTTCTTGGGGAGGGTTCATTTATTGAATACTAGAGGCCTGGTGCATGAATTCGTGCATGGGTAGGGTCTGGCTGACCTGCCCCAATTGGGGCTGGCTGGCTGGGGGAAGGGGTCTCAGGAGGTTGGCCTGCTGGCTCTACCCGCATTAGGCTGGTTGGCCGGCTTCAGTGCACATCATAGTGACTGGTCATTCAGGTTGTTTGGCTTTTACATATATTTGAAGCTGCAACTCTAACAGTGTCACTTGGGAATCTGGCTGAGAAGAGAAGGAGGTTCTAAGCACAGATAAGATAAGAGCTAACCCAGATATACCCATTCAGTAAACTGGACCACTGTTAGTAACTCTCCACTCCCTGTATTAGAATATTCAACTGTGCCCTTTGTTATGTGCCTTTACAGTTTTTTCCACTAAATGTGAGAATATTTCCCTGCTCTATTAATGGAAACTACTGTTTGGTAAGACGTGGCTTTGCAGAGCCAATAGTCCAGGCAGTAATTTCCTTTAAAAACTTGCAGGTGGCTATGCCCTCATGATCCAAACAACCCTAATTCCCTTTTTCTTTTTCAAAGGTCACATTTTCTATCTTTTTAAATTATTTGGTCCTCAGGAGAATTTGAGATAGTGCTCCCTGGCATATGTAACCAGTTTGGCTCAAATAAACTATTTTTTAAAAAATCAATTAATTTTCAAATATATCTTTATTGATTTCAGCGAGGAAGGGAGAGGAAGAGAGAGAGAGAGAGAGAGAGAGAGAGAGAGAGAGAGAGAGAGATCAATGATGAGATGATGAGTGAGAATTATTGATCTGCTGCCTCCTGCATGCTCCACACTGGGGATCAAGCCCACAACTGGGCATATGCCCTGAACAGGAATCAAACCTTGACTTGTGGTTCATAGATTGACACTCAACCACTGAGCCATTCCTGCAGGGCTCAAACATTTTTTTTCTTTAATTATTTGGTCTTCTCTAAGACTCTTGAAGAACACTTTCATCATAGCTTTTTCCTTAGCTACATGTTTGACTTTAGGCAGACAACCTAATTTGGGGGTCAATTTTAACATCTGTGAAATGGGATGGATTTCCTGATTTCTATCCTGCCCTAATATTCACAGAAGCAAAAGTTCTCAACTTCTTATTGTTATCAGAGTCAGTGGAAAGAATTTAATGAAAATGCAGGTAGCTAAACCTCACTTCTATAGATTTTAATTTAGCAGGTTTCAGGTGGGACCCCAGAATCTATATTTTTAATGAGTAGCCCCAGATGGTCTAATGTTTATCCTATAAGTTCCATTGTCTTTTTACCCCAAATGATTACACTAATAGAATAAAGTGAGTTTTAAGTAAGAGCTAAAGGAAAGAACTTCCCAGGTTACTTAAAAGGGTATCTTCAATCAGAGGGGACTTGAGACAGTAAAAATCTAGCTGGGTAAGACAATGGCCCTATTAGAGCAAGTTATTAATTGAAAGCAACATTGGTTGGGCTCAAAAAGGAAACACAACTTCATAAGTGTAAAACAACTTACGAGTGGTTTTAAAAAATAAAAACAGTTAAGCCTGACTCACTTGGCTCAGTGGTTGAACATCACCTATGAACCAGGAGGTCATGGCTGGATTCCAGGTCAGGGCACGTGCCTGGGTTGTGGGCTCTATCCTCCTGTAGGGGGCATGCAGGAGACAGCCAATCAATGATCCTCCCTTATCATTGATATTTCTTTCTCTCTCTTCCCTTTCCTCTCTGAAATCCATAAAAATATTTTTAAATAAAAATAAAAACAGCCGGGACTGGTTTGGCTCAGTGGATAGAGCGTTGGCCTGCGGACTGAAAGGTCCCGGGTTTATTCCGGTCAAGGGCATGTGCCTTGGTTGGGGGCACATCCCCGGTGGGGGGTGTGCAGGAGGCAGCTGATTGATGTTTCTCTCTCATCGATGTTTCTAACTCTCTATCCCTCTTTCTTCCTCTCCTTGAAAAATCAATAAAATATATTTAAAAAAATAAATAAATAAAAACAGTTAATTGTTTTCAAAGTGTGGTGGGGATAATAGGTTTTAATCTAAAAACAGGGTACCAAATTTAAGAGTTGAGTCTTTTCAAATATAGGTTCTGCGTATAGGTGCTTTTGTGTGTTCATACACATGCATTATGTATACATGTGTTCATATGCTAAATCTATATGACATATCAAAGTATAATTCACAATAATAAGCTAATAATTAACAATGTAGTCATAGCCTAGTGCTTGAAAATTGCATTGTAAGAATATTTGAAATGTATCTGCTGCAATTTATGGTCTTAGGATATCATCTTTAAGAATCTGGAAAAGCCACATGTGTAGAACATCTTGATTTTGAGTTGTTTGGCCTATTTTTAGACATTTAAAAATGTTAAACAGATTTCCTGTGGGACTTTCTCACTCATTCATTCACTCCCTAAGATCATTTATTCCAAAAGTGTCTGCCAGCAAACACGGGAATATAGAGAGGCAGAGCCTAAGGAAACGGGGGGAGCCTGAGAAAACACACCAAATCTGAGTTGGGGGATCACCATTCCATTTGGAAGATGATTGGACAATCGATTACCCATTTCCTTTTTTGAACAGGCTGAAGCTCTATCCATTGAACAACACAGGCCAGGGCAATCATCCATCTCCATTTTTGCACCTCCTCCCTGCCCTGCAGGAAGTAAAAAGTGCCTGCTTTAGCCCTCATGTTCCATTTACACCCTCTACCTTTCTCCACTTTTAGTGGACTCTGACTTCTTTGCAGTGAAAAGCTGCTTCCTTGAGGTAAAGGTGTCAGGCCTAGGAGAGATCTTACTGATCCCTCTTACACTGAAGCTTGGGTTGTGCCTTTGAACACTGAACTTTATGCAGACATGCATTGTTATTAGATTCAGTCTCATGCCATGTGCCCATCTTCCCTGATCCTGCCACCAGCTTGGTTGCTCTTGAACAGAAGGCTCATGGTGGTGTGGTTTATGTGGTACTGCTATGTGCTATGATCACTGTGGACAATGAAGACTTCATCAAATGCCTAGAATGAGTGAACAACCCTTTCACAGTTGCATTTTTACAACTACTTACCCATTTGGTACATGGAATATTCCCAACTACTGTGTCTCCTAATACTGACCCCGAGCTCATTAGCAGCCTGGTGTGATGGTTTCCATTTTCTAGAGACCAATTAAGCAGTTGCTCCAGACAGAACTCACAACAAAAATGTAAATTTAAAAAACAGAAACCAGGACCTTCTGGCGGAGGGGAGAAAGCCAAGGCAGGCAGGCTAGGGAAAGAGGAGATTGGGTGAGGATGTGAGAGGCTCTGTGTCTGCCAGTGGAGTACTGGGCCTCCTTAATTTCAGATTCCACCACAGTTTACCTGAGATGTATCCCCTCCCCCGCTTAGTAGATAGATAGATAGATAGATAGATAGATAGATAGATAGATAGATAAATGAAAAAGAAAAGAAAATAGCAGAGACCTTTAATTAGAACCACCCACTGGCTCATGCAAGGCTCCTAATTACAGATTTATGCCAAGACCCCCCATTCTCAGAGGCAGCTTCACACTAGCGTTTCAGCTTCAGCCTAAACGGACTTTCACCAAGCTTCCCTCACCCCTGCACCAGATCCAGGGAGGCATCAAATCGCAGGCACAGTCTGCGCCACGCAGTCCTCTCAAGGGAGATTGAAAAACGTCCTACCGTTGTCCCCATTCTCCTTCCCCAACCCCCATCTCCCTTCAGAGAGGGGATTTCTGTTGCCTCCTAGAAGACAAAAAAAAAAAAAAAAAAAAAAAAAAAAAAGCAAAAGATGAGGCTTGTACATAGCGAGAAGCTAAACTACCTACTTCCCTCCCCACCCACCCAGGCTCTGCTCCCGACTCCGCCTCCTCCTGCAGGGGGCCGGCGGTCAGGTGAGATTACCTGGGCGCCGGAGAAGCCCCGAGGGGCGCTGCGATCCTAGGTTTCGGATTCGCCCCACTCCCCGCCCCCAGGTCCGCAGGACTCTGTCCCCTTCTGCCCCTGCGCGTCCCCTGCCCCTCGGGCTTGGGCGCGCAATGACAGCCGCGCGCCGCGCTCCGCTCCCCTCCGCCGACCTGGCATGACGCAGGCGGAGACTACTTAAGGGCGGATTAGAGGCGGCGGCGCGGATTCCCAGCCCCGCAGCCGGCTCTGCGCTCCGCCCCGGCCTCGCAGGTGGCAGCGCGGGAGCGCTCCGTGCCCACTGAAGTGCCAGGCGCGGGGCTGGTGCCCGGACCCTTTCCCGGCCCCCAGCCCCGGGTGGGGAGTGGCGCCCAGAGACCTCTCCGCGGGGCGCGAGAGTTGGAGGAGCTGCAAGCTGCCACCCAGCCCCGCCCCTCTCCCGGGCACGGTGGGCTCAAAACCTGACCCTCCGGACGCGCCGCTGGAGGTTGTGCCGGCTCGCTGGACTGCGCCAGCTGCCCCATCAGTCGGGGTGCGCTTGAATTTCTTTCCCCATTTTTCTCTTTTAAGTACAATAAACGGGAGAGGAGGTTCGTGATTTTTTTTTTTTAATTGTTTGCTTTTTTAATCGCGGGGCAATTCGCTCCCAGCGGGGACGTGCGGCCCCGGGTGGGGCCAGGAGCAGGAAGGTGCCCGGTGCTGCCCACTCTTTGTCTGCTGCCTCCGGATGCACAGCGATGGGGGAATGGACCATCTTGGAGAGGCTGCTGGAAGCCGCGGTGCAGCAGCACTCCACTATGATCGGGAGGTAAGGGCGCCGAGCCGGCTGTCGGGCGGCCCCCCGGGAGTCCCTTCTCACACCCAGACTGAGCCCCAGTAGCCCCCCAGTCCACCCCCTGTCCCTTTCCATCATCTTCAGCCCATGCATCTGTGTTTCCGCATTGAGAGATTACCCAATGCCCCGCGATGCCCCCCTCCTTTAGTTGCTCCTGCTCAGCGCCCCATCCCCTCCCTATGAAGCAACACTGGGGGTTCACTCTTCTCCCAACGGAAAGGGAGTTGTTGGCTCAGTCATGGTCCCCCCCCCCCCCCCACACACACACACTCTCGGGAGTCCAGCCAGTCTCCATCCGGTTCCCTAAATAGAATCTATAAGGAAGGCAGGATTGTATTTGGACAGAGAAGGACAAACAGGAAGATGTATTTGTTCTTCAGAGCAGATGTATCTTTCCCCAACAAATTTTTATTAAGCTAAACCGATTTGGCTGTTAAAACTCACTGTGTCAGAAACCCACACACCCAATTTTGTGTATATATTCATAGCTATCTGTTTATGTAAAACATTAAGTTTAATATTCATATTGAAGATAAACATCCAAATCCGTTGGAGTACTTATATACATGCTCTGTGTAGGTTTTGAAATGTATTCTGTTCAGATATTCGGTGTGCCTTTGCCGTATCCAGAGGGAAGGTGTGTTTTGTGCCTCCGTACATTGCACATATGCAGAAACCTACCTGTGGCAGTTGTACCATGTCCAATGTACAGAGAACTATGTATCTGAGCTCCCTGCAGTATGAAGTGCTCCCAGCACCCCACAGAAAGGGAAGAGACACAGGTTTCCTAAGATCCCCAGTTCAGCACCATGCAGGGATGGACAGCTCCTCAGGCAAAGGATCTTGATTCACAGCAGAGCAGGGAAGGTGGGAGCAGGGGTTTCCTAAATCAGTGACTCAGCCCCTGAGAACTTCTTTCCCTCCCTCTCCCCTGCTCAGGATCCTGTTGACCGTGGTGGTGATCTTCCGGATCCTCATTGTGGCCATTGTGGGGGAGACAGTGTACGATGACGAGCAGACCATGTTTGTCTGCAACACCCTGCAGCCTGGCTGTAACCAGGCCTGCTATGACCGCGCCTTCCCCATCTCGCACATTCGTTACTGGGTCTTCCAGATCATAATGGTGTGTACCCCCAGTCTCTGCTTCATCACGTATTCTGTGCACCAGTCCGCCAAGCAGCGAGAACGCCGCTACTCGACTGTCTTCCTGGCCCTGGACAGAGACCCCCCTGAGTCAATGGGTGGTCCTGGAGGAACTGGGGGTGTGGGCAGTGGTGGTGGAAAACGAGATGATAAGAAGATGCAAAATGCCATTGTCAACGGGGTGCTGCAAAACACAGAGAACACCGGCAAGGAGACAGAGCCAGACTGTTTAGAGGTTAAGGAGCTGAACCCACACCCGTCAGGGCTGCGCACTGCAGCGCGATCCAAGCTCCGGAGGCAGGAAGGCATCTCCCGCTTCTACATTATCCAAGTGGTGTTCCGAAACGCCCTGGAGATTGGGTTTCTGGTGGGCCAATACTTTCTCTACGGCTTCAGTGTCCCAGGTTTGTACGAGTGTGACCGCTACCCCTGCATCAAGGAGGTGGAGTGTTACGTGTCCCGGCCTACCGAGAAGACCGTCTTCCTGGTGTTCATGTTTGCCGTGAGTGGCATCTGCGTTGTGCTCAACCTGGCTGAACTCAACCACTTGGGGTGGCGCAAGATCAAGCTGGCTGTGCGAGGGGCACAGGCCAAGAGGAAGTCAGTCTATGAGATCCGCAATAAGGACCTGCCCCGGGTTAGTGTTCCCAACTTTGGCAGGACTCAGTCCAGTGATTCTGCCTACGTGTGAAGGGGCAGGTTTTGGGAAGGCCCAGGGTATGACGTTGCCCTGAGGCAGATGACTATTTGAGAGTGGTTACTATCTGCCCTCAATTATTGTACTCTCACTATTGAGATACAGGAAAAGGCTGGTTAGGAGAAGACATTGCATCAATGGGAGAAGAGAGAGAGAATCATTAGTACATCATACCTCTGGTTCCACAGAGACAATTGGGTAGAGTGATGAGATGGATGAGTTGGCCTTTTTTGGATCTTCTTACTTTATGGCCTAGTCTGATCTTAATAACAGTGGGACTTGTACAGCTGCCAACTAGGACTTAGCTCTGCTGAGCTCTGTATCCTGGTGAATGGTGTGAGTCAAACACTTCATTGGTACAAAATTTGTGACTTATCTCAACACATCCCTTCATCCTAGGCTTGCAAGACAAACATCCTTGAGGCATTCTTCATGCATCTCCCTCATCAGCATGCCCCTTTCCTCAATCCAAGATAGCATGCGAGCTTTTTCTTTTTTTAATCTGGCCTTACAGTAGACCTAATATGGTTTACCTGAAAGCTAGAGGGAATTACTTGGGGTGCGTTTTGGAGAATGGTCTTGACAAAGGTTTGCATTAGAGCCCCATATGACTGGCCCTTAGTCATTATGAAAACCTTAGGAATGTCTCAATATTTCCAATTTTCTAGCTCAAACTGCACTGGTGCTCTTTATTGGGGATAGGGTTTGGGTGGGAGGGAGGGAATTGTGATATGCAATTATAACACTTCTGTGAGATGGTTGTTGCACTGTTAGGCATGTGTTTATGCGCTTTGGGATACTTCTGCCTTCCAGTATGTGGACTTTGGATAGCATTAAAATATTTTTTTGTTAATATCAAAGATTTCTACTCAAACCACAGAATTTCTAGCTGGTGTATTCCATTTATTTTCTAATATAGTTTTGTTGTGCAACACAGCTGCACTTCATTTTGCCACTGTTTGGATTTACCTGTGTGCTCACACCAGAGACCTTAATTAGCCCATGTCAGCCCCTTATTTGTTATTTTATCAGTTATTTTTGAAATCTCCACAAAATCACTGGAACTAAATATTATTGGCTAACATGTGATTATGAATGCTTAAGACATATACCAAAGGTTTAAAAAAACCTGTTGCTTTGAACTGTGAGTATATTTCCCTTTCTTTGCTCTTATTTATTTAAGTGCCATACAATACCTTTTACATCCACTGTGTATTTAGTTAAAGCATTGGCCAATAGTAATATTTGGATAATGTGCTTTTATGAGTTTTGTTTCCTTTGCATTATGATTTTTATTTAGATATGGATGCAGTGTAACACACAACTGAGGATTTGTTTAAAATAAAGTTCTTTCCTTTTTTGATAAAACGGGAAGTCTGCATTTTTCTATTTTGACTGAGGTTCTATTTATTTAAATATATGTTCAAAATGTTTTATTACATATTTTAAAATGCAGAACACTTGGGGCACGAAGTGAGAGATGGATGAATAGTATTTGAGGAATGACCAATAAAGTCCAGTTAGTTACTCACAAATGAGAAGACCCTGGTACAATTTTATGACTGTTTAGAAGAGTGTGATGAGTTATTCAAATAGTAGTATTTACTAGCTCTCTTCAATTTTAGCTCAAGATTTCTGTGTGTGTTCCCCCCCCCCCCCAGGCTATCCTATATTATAAGAGATAATATGTAAATTAACTCTCACACCCTCACAAGATGGCTGCCTATGACCAGGACAGCAGGGGTATTAGTGAGGGATGACCACACAACTGAACAAGACTGTGTGGGGTGACGAGGCCAGCAGGAGGTGCAGTAAGGGGTGACCAGGCCGGCAAAAGGGGGGGGGGCAGTAAAGGGTGACCAGGCTGGTGTGGAGGAGGCAGTTAGGAGCAAATAGGCTGGCAGGGAAGGGGCAGTTGTGGGTGACCTGGCCGGCAGCAGGAGGCAGTTAGGGGTAATTAGGCCAGCACACAAATTCAGTGAGGGGTGATTAAGCCAGCAAGGGGGGGAGGCAGTTAGAGGCAACTATGCAGGCAGGCAGGTGAGTGATTAGGAGCCAGCGGTCCAGGATTGTGAGAGGGATCCTGGATTGAAGAGAGTGCAGGCTGGGTCAAGTGCCCCCAACCCCTGTGCACAGATTTCATGCACAGGGTGTCTAATTTCCTGTAATAAAATGTCAATGCTATATCACAGTAGCTCATCTCAGGAGTGAAATTTTTTTCCTTTTCCATCATATTTCCCTGTCATGAATTGTCACATATGGCAAGCATGTAGTGCTCTTCATCATCTCTTGAAGTTCTTATATGTAAAACGATGCTGATCCAACAGTCAAGCAGAACCCTCTAGACCAGCACTGTTCAATGCAACTGTGTATAATGATGGAAATTTTAAACTGTCCTTGCTGTTCTATATAGCAGTGACTATCAGGTTCTTAAAATGTGACTAGTGCCACTGAAGAACTAAATTTCTAATTTTATTTCATTTAAATAGTCATATATGGTTAGTTGCTGCTGCATTATTATACAGCCCAGTTCTAGACGTCCGATAGTTTATTTTGGAGTTCTTCCAAAGGAGACTGAGCCTTTGCTTATATGTCATAAGATATTGCATTCTCACACAATGCATTCTTATTTTTGACACTTTCTGTCTACATGTGGTCTGCTTAGTTCATGGGACTAGTGTTCTTTTTCAATTCTTTAATGCTACTCACCTTCTAATTCTAGTAAGCATTTGGTCTGAAAACTGAAGAGCACTATGGAATTTCCTGGATAATTGTTTTTCAAACACACTTGTTGCATCCTTTAACGATAGCAAGGCAGATGCCAGTTTTGGAATGAAAAGATTTCAACCTATAGGCTTTCATGTGCAGTATAAATAGGCAGTTGAAAGTGATTATTCTTGAATACAGAAACAGATCCTCCTCTGTTTTGTGTCTGGTGAGTTAAAAATGTTTTAAGACATCTCCCAGAGATGGAGGAAGAGTGTTGCTTGAGATTGCTTAGCATATGGTTGGGTGTGAAAGAAGTAGGAATCTGTGTGGAAAACAAGGGCTGTTGTATTTGTGTCGTGATGTCCGATGACAAGAATAATAGTGTTTCCTGGTAGAAATACATTCTGTATTAGTGGGGTGGATCGCTTCCTTCTCGGCATATAGGGTCACCCCTCAGAATGACTGATGTGTATCAGTCTGATTCTTTTGCTTTCTATTTAATGAAGGAAATATACTGATGATTTGATGCTTCACATAGCTATGTGACCTTAATCTGTACTTTGTGAGAGGACAGCCCTGATATCTTCTCTCAAACGTAAGAGCCTTTTGGTGCACTCTAGCCCCTGGTCTGTGTGTATGCATGCATTTATGTGTGTGTGTGTGTGTGTGTGTGTGTGTGTGTGCGCACGCGCGCGCACGTCTGCACATTTTGGTGTAGATAGTTGGTGTCAAATCTAAAAACTTGAAGAATAGACTGAAGAAAGTGAAGTTATTTAGCCTGGGAAAAGAAAAACCGAAAGCACAGAATTTGTAATGTTTTAGTCCTCAGATATTTAAAAGTTAACAAAAATATGAGAACTAACAGCTGTACTCTCTAGCTCTGGGGACAGAGGAGAAGGACTGGACTTAGAATGGAGGGTATGGGAGGTTAGGAGGATTAGAAAGAACATGATTTCTCTTTCACCTCTACTTTTTTAGAAAGAATGCTATTTCTTCTGCAGGGAATATCTGTCCCATCACCTCCTTTTGCTGGGTATGTTTCTCTTCACCCTTAAAATAAGTTTGACTGTCCACTCCTCCCGACTGGCTTAGTGCCTCTGTAAAAATAAAAATACTAATTATTTTCAAATCTTTAGGTACCCTTATGGTTAGGAAAGGCTACACACTTTAGTGTACAAAATGAGCTACCTTAGATAATGAAAGAAAGAGGCAGGATCATTAATTGAATGCAACACCAGAACAATGGGTATAAGTTGAATCTGTCTTGAATAAATAGAGTTGTGTACTTAAGACAATAAACAGCCATTGAGCCCATGTCCCAGGCCCTGGGTCCCCAGAGATAATTATAATACCTAAGTCTCAGCTCTTGAGAAGGGTTGTCAAAGCTACTTCTCAGACAAAAGATAAAAATTATGTCAATAATAATGGGACAATAGTAGTGTATTTAAGAAATATTAATGCCTTTGGTCCATTCCGGAATATCTAGATTAGAATCTCTGAGGCTGTAGTCTAGGCATATATCTATCTATCTATCTATCTATCTATCTATCTATCTATCCATCTATATAGATAGATAGATAGATAGATAGATAGATAGATATATGCCTAGACTACACACATATGTGTGTGTGTGTGTTTAATCTTTATTGTTGAAAATATTACAATATTTTCCTCTTTTTCCCCTATTGAACCCCTCCACACCACTCCAGCTCTGCCCCAGGCCTTCAACATATAAGTTCTTTGGTATTGATATTTTTTATTTTACATTCCTCAGGGATTTGATTGTGTAGTCATCATGGTTGAGAACAACTGATTTGAAGACACTAGCATGAAATTATGAGAATCAGATGTTTGGAGGAGAAACTTGAAAAGGAGTTAAAGGAAAGGGAGTATGAAACGATCTCAAAAAAAGCTGCTTGTTTACATGGCATGCAAAATTAGTCATGAGAACAGATATCCTCATCCTCAGGACTTTAGAAGTGGAAGCAGAGGCCATAGCAATGAGAGGAGCTGGCCAGGGTGGAGTGCCCAGAGGAGGAGAACATCACAGACGTTGAAAAGAGCTGGCTAGCAAAGGAAAGTTACAAGATGATGCCATAAAGTTGAAGGAAATCAAATATCAAGAAATAGGATCTGTTATTAGTACTCAATTTTATTTATTTTTTTTAAAATTATTTTATTGATTTTTACAGAGAGGAAGAGAGAGGGATAGAGAATTAGAAACATTGATGGGAGAGAAACATCAATCAGCTGCCTCTTGCACACCTCCTACTGGGGATGTGCCCGCAACCAAGGTACATGCCCTTGACCGGAATCAAACCTGGGACCTTTCAGTCCACAGTCTGATTCTCTATCCACTGAGCCAAACCAGCCAGGGATAGTACTCAATTTTAGTAAGTATTAGGTAGATAGAAACCTCAGAAGCATTCACTAAGTTTGGTGAGTGAGTGGGCTTGGAGGAACTGTGAGCAGAGACGACCCTTTGCTTTGAAGCTCCAGAACTCCTGCAGGTTCCAGGAAAGCTATTAAAATAAGAACAGGTGAAAGGTAAATTGTCAATCTCATCTGGGTCAGGCTCTGGTATTCAGTTAGGCATGGCAAGCCAGCTATGTGACTATCCAAAAGTTATGTTCATGTAGAGATTGTTACACACAAGATAGCATGTATATTAGCTAAACACACCTGGCTGAACCAAACCTAAATGAGTGGTTGTGATTAAAGTGTACTATGGTCAGCTTTGGGTCTTGAGGGCTTGTGGGCATAACTTTAGAGGCTTCTGAGGGATGCCCATCCCGAGTGTCAATGCCTGACTTGCTGTTATGAAATCAGGTCGACAGTTCTAAGTCTCCAGCAGCGGTGGCAAAGAGTTCTGATAGATGGACCAGTCTTTTTTTCCCCCCTCAGCCTAAAGACTAGCAATGCTCTATAAAACATGTATATTTAACTTAACAAAGGATCTATCACCCATTATTACATCCTAACTCTCCCATTCCAACCCCTTCCTTAAAAGTCTCCAAAAACATTAAGCAATAGAAAGTCACTCAATTCAATTCAGTGCTTTCTTGAGCACTGATAGTGTATAAGGGCCTGGGCTGCATGTTTAAGGAAATCCAAAGGCCAGTATGATGCACTCCTTACTCACCCGAGAGGAATAAGAGAACTTCCTAAAGCAAAATGTGAACTGTACCACATTCAAGGCTCAAAATGTTCTAAGATTGAAGGAAGGAGACAACACATCCAAAGTGTATGTGTGTGTTGAGGGTGGTAGAACAAGTATAGAAAAACTTCACCAACAAGGTAGCATTGAGATGGAGGTAGGGACTAGTGGAAATAGTCACCTCCAGCAGAGAAGCCTGGGGTATGTGTGGAGAACTGGGGACTTTGTTTTGCATGGAACTCACAGAGAGGAGTGGGAGGTGAGGTTGTAAAGTGAGCAGACCCCATTGTGCACCAGGCAAAGGAAGATGCCCTGAATTGGGTAGACAATATGAAGACACACTTTTCAACAAAGTTCTTTAATGCTGCCCTTTTGAGCCTCAGACATCGGCCACACTAACCATGAGGAGATTCCATCTCAAGATCAGCTTTGATTTCGAAAACACATTTCAATCTCAACAGTATGAGATTGGAGCAAATATCCAGAGTGGTGGTTGG